TATTCACTATTGTTAGTGAGGCTTTCAGCCTGATGGTTAACAATGTGGTTCATAATAATGGTTTTTTAGGATTTCGAATTAATAATGTGGAGCCTACTATCTCTCACTTGCAATATGCTAATGATACCATTTTATTTTGTAGGGGCAGATATAGATTAGATCATGACTATTAGAAGGTTTCTCAGATGCTGCGAATTTTCTTTGGGCCTCAAAGTTAATTTGGGAAAAAAAATTAATAATTAGTGTGGGATGCCAAGATGTAGTGGTCAATTATCTTGCTGAGATTTGAACTGTACTTTTCCAATTACATACTTGAGAATGCCTCTATCTGATCGCAGGCAACCAAAGGCAGGGAAAATTAGAAGTTAAACATTTGGAATCGAAACACTTATCTATTAGAGATAGAGTTACTTTGATAAAATCATCCATATCTTATTTGCCTATTTACCAGATGTCATCATTAAATATATCAGGTGATATTATTAAACAAGTGGAAAAAGTAATCACGAATTTCTTATGGGGCTCTTATAAGGATGTGAGGAAATATTATCTAATCAGTTGGGACAAAACATGTACTCCAAAAATTGAAGGGGGTATGGGAATTAGAAATTAAAATATGTAAATCAAACTTTTCTAGCGAAATGGTTGTGGCATGCACTGCAAAATAATAAGTATATGTGGAAGGATATACTTCAAGGTAAATATGGTTTGGACACTTGTAATCTTAGTATTGCACTTAGACAAAGGAGAGAATAATCTTATATGTGGAGGGAAATCTCTTCTATGTGGAGTTTTGTTCTTTCTTATTCAAGATGGGTAGTTGGAAAGGGAGATTTTGTACTATCTTAGTATTATAAATGGGCTTCAAATATATCTTTTTAAATGGCTATATCCGGATGTTTTTCTTAGAAGTTCATTTACTATGGCTTAAGTTAATGAGGTGGGTGTTAAGTAAGGGTTATCTGTAGTATGGAATATTAATTGCCCTAACTGTATCCCCAATATTGCGGTGATCCAATATATCGATATATTCAGAACATTAGTTGGTTTTCATATATCACATAATGCAAAGGATATGGTTGTTAGGGAGTTAGAAACAAGTGGCATATTTTCAGTGAAATCTATGTATAATTTATTTTTCCATGACAGGGTTAGATAGAACCAATCTCTTCTAAAGGATATCTGGAAATGGCATATACCCCATAAGATACCAGTTTTTATATGGATTTTGTCTCAAAAGAAAATATGAACGATTGATGATTTAAGAAAAAGATGAAAGATCATCGTTAATGTTTGTATATTGTGCAAACAAAGATAGGTAGTTTGTTATGGGAATATCTTGAGGGATTCTTTTATATGAGAGTTATGGCTGGAAAGGAATAGGCGTACTTATGATGGTGTGGCTATAAGACTGGATGAATTAAAAAGAAAAATTAAATTTTCTGTATGGAGTTGGTTTAGTATTTCAAAGATAAGTTGGGGGAGTTCAAGGAGGGATTTTGAACAAAACATTGATAAATTGGTTTTGCAAAGATCTATTAACATGAAGCCCCAATGTGTATGAAATCTACTATCAATGGACTGTATGAAATTAAATTTTGATGGCTCTTCATTTGGAAATCTTGGGCCCTCAGGAGTTGGGGGTGTATGTCGCAATCATGAAGGTCAGATAAGATTTTGTTATATAGGGCCTTGTGGGGTGGTTTTTGCTAATCATGCGGACTTCAAATCTTTGCTTCAACTACTGCTGATCTATAAGGGGAAGGTGTGGGGAATAACCTGATTATTGAAGGAGACTCTCTCAATGTCATTAATTCGTGTAAAGGCTTGTCAAGACCTCTTTGGCGGCTTTTAACCTTATTGTACAAAGTGATTGAGTTATCTTTGGATATTACTGTTGCCTTTCATCACATCTATAGAGACAAATTCACTACCGATGAGTTAGTCAAGAAAGGAGTTTCGTTGGATTTTCTATTTGCATCTAATTTGTTATTTTAATTTTGATGTAATCACTCTTATTTCTAATAATATTCATTTCTCTTGTCAAAAAAAATGTAGCAGCAGGAAAAAAAAAAGAATTATGAATAATAATTTAATATGTTGTTGAATATTACAAAAATATAAATAAATACTCACATCATATGCATATAATTAAAGTGTTCAAACTATGGTGCTATCCGTATTGTTGAAAGTTAATAACATAGAAGGGCCAAATGACACTATAGGTCTAAGAGGTAAAGACAATATCACAAACAACTAGGCATATTTCGTAATTGGGTGCAGTTTGTATATAGTCAAGGTTCTAACCAAGCAAATTAGAGAATACATTCAAATAGTGTTGAAAAATATGGTTTCAATACTGAAAAGTTTTGTGAAAGCCTTAAATTATATTTTCATCTTTTGTTATAAAATTTAAAGCTTCAAAAATAGTGTAGATTGAGCAAATCTATGAAAGCTTGAAAATCTTGAAAATTGAGTATCTAAAAATGCTTTACAAGATGCACTATTTCTAAAACTTGAAGTTCATTTTATTTCATGTCCATGCATCTTGATGTCGAGATGATCAATTTGATGATATCTGGGCATCAAAACACCTCTTCTAGTGAAAGTTTTCAGGTAGGCTCTAATTTGATTGTTTAGAGCTTAGGTTCTTATAAACTTTTCCCTTCATAATTTGGTGCAAGCTATAAAAAGAAGACCCGCTTTCTATGCGGTCAAGCCCCCATATGTAGAGATGCGGGCCTCTAAATAAATCTATTTTTGAGATGGATTTTAAGACTTAATTTTTGAGGACATGTAATCTCTAACATGAAGATCATGAATATGAACAAATAAATAAACTTTAAAATTTAAAAGTAATAATTCTAGTGAGAAAATATTTGGTCCGTTTGTTTCCATTGGAACACCTACTTAGTTTCCATTGGAACACCAACTTGCATCCATATTTAAGATGGATGTTTTACACTTTTTGAATCGCATGTGTAGAAATGCGGTCTAGCCCGCATGAAACAATTTTCCATAAAAAAAAGTTGCGTGGATCACTTGATTTACCAAAATTTCCCTAGTTATTCATGGTTCCTAATGTTAGACATAGGGAAAAAAAAAATTGAAATTTGTATTCTGTTTTGGCAATATTGTGTATTATTATAAATATTTTTTATTTTTGGTAGATGCGCAATAGTTATAATTTAAACAAAAATGACAATATGGCCTAATATTTTATAGATTAATGATAAACAATATTTAAGTCTAAATTAACCAAAAACCATAATAAGCATTCAAAAGATTGTATTAAATACATATTCCAAAAAATTGAGCTTTTTTTTTAAAATATAAAAACCAAGAAACCAAAAATAAATTTTTTAAAAATAAAGAGGAAAAAACCGACGGAAAACTCATTGGATATAATATTTACAAAAGGCCCAACAAAACTAAACATAGTATTTAAAAAAAAAAATTTCTTTGAAATTTCAGGGCATATTTAAATAAAATAAAATAAAATAAAAATCTTCGAAATTTCAAGGCATAATAAAAAAAAAAAAAAAACCGAGCACAACAAAATCAAGTTCATTAGATTCAAGGAAAATCAACAAAACAACTTATCTAAATTAATTCTAGCACAATCCAGATTAGAAACTTCACAAAATTCTACTTCTTATTTTTTTTACAATACAATAGAATTTCTTAAAAAATTCCAAGCAATTTTATTTTGGAAAAATAGTGCACCTAGAAAAAATATTATTTCATTAGAAGTCAGAGGAAAAAGTCAACAAAAGAAAAATCGTCCAGATCCTTTTCTAATACAATCCGGAACACCACCCCCGAAAAAATTCAAGACTATATTTCAAAAAATTTATTAGTTTAAATAAAGGATTCAAGAAAATAAAGAGTTCACCAAAAAAATTAATTTCATTACAATAGGGAAAAATTCAATAGAAAAAATAATCTAAACCCTTCCTAACACAAATCAAAACTAAAGAAACAAAAAACTTCAATTTAATACTAACAAAATATTCTTAATTTCTCCAAAATCCGAGCCACATTTTCATAAGAACAGAGAAACTATGCCACAAAAACTAAAATAAATACAAATATTGCTCAAAAATAAAATACTTGGTTTAGATTGAACCTAATCTATAACATATCAAATCCACAAAGAAATTGACTGAAACTTCAAAATTTGTTGGATCGAAACTCTAAAGTTGGATGATGGAGACATTTGAAACCTTTGAACTTGTTAGGGATTTGATCCAAGAAATTTCTATCGGGATTTTGATAGAGCTTCAATTGCAAATAATTAAACAATTTCAAATTACTTTGTTGAGAATTAAGGGATGACTTTTGGGGGTTCAGAAAACATGAAATTTTAAATGCAAAAACCTCGCCAAAATAAAATATTTATCAACCTAATTTTGTTTTCAATCTAAAATGGAACAATTGATGCCGAAAGGATCAATGGTTGAGTCTAAAAAAAGGACAAAGGCCTAAGGTTGTTTTTGGTTGTTTTTTATTATTAAGTTTAGAGTTAGACTCGGTCGATTCTAAGTCATTTTACTGGTTTCTAATCCTTATTTAGACGATAAAATATGAATTTTGCAGCCCCAAGGCCTTGGTCATATCCAAGAAAAGAATTCTACAAAAATAGGCTTCCATAAAGATGTACTCAATTTCAACTTGTCCACTAATCATCTCCAAGAGCATAAAACCTCGGTCTTGGTTTAAATGAAGGTCCCGGCCCCGACTCGTATTATTTTCATGCAGACTCCATTGAACACCCATTATTTGTATGGATCTTGGATCCAAATTTGTAGCGATCGATGATTTATGCTATGATGATCATGCGGGCTCCATTAAACACCCATTATTTGTATGGATAGGAATTTTTAGTTGTGGATGTTCAACTTAAAGATGGACGTTTGTGATCGTACGGGCTAGTGAGTCTGCCGACTCCCAAAACACTATTTCTTAAATGAACATGCTACATTAAAGAAGAGAGAAAGTAGCACCTAAACTCCCATTGCCCAATATTTTCCATATGTACATACACCCATCAATAAATTTGCATTTTGAGAATCACCACTCTACAGGCCCTGCCTAAACAATTAGTGAATATAAAATATTTCAAAAAGAGAGAAAAACACCTCATGTCAGCTAATTTTCTTCTCCATATTTTTAGTATTAAAACCTACGCACATCTCAACTCAATACAAGACCCACAATCCATAAGCTCCTCTATCATCTGTTCAATAAACTCATCCTCCAATCTATTCATTTGCTCGCCACTCTCAATCTCCACTTTTAAGACCCACCCGTTCTCCGGGGGACCGCCGGCCGGTATCTTCTGCTGGCTCGGCGAGCTGACGCTCGGCTTGGCGGCTTGGAGCTGGAGGGAAGCCATTTGACATCGCTGAAGCTTGGCCGTCAGATTCGGGGATAAGAACTTCGTAGAGGCCGACTGAGATGCATTTGGGCTGTATGGGAAGTTGGTTCGGGCACAGGGCCCACACATGAACCGAGCCGCTTCGTCATAGGCTCGAGCCGCGTCCTCGGCTGTCTCGAATGTTCCGAGCCATATCCTTGTTTTCCTGCCCAGAAAACAGAGTGGCCTGTCATTTATTTATGCACAGGTTGTGTATGACATCACCATACAGGAACTGTGTATGGTTTGGCAGTTCTTAACTTTGTGCTTTCATGACATAAAAAAAACATTGCCTTACGACGTTCTCCCTTTTTGTGTTTTTTCTTCTTTTTCTTTGTTCTATTTGACTACAAGCCATTGAAGCAGGATATTTGAAAGGGGAAACAAGGGGCTGTTAAATAACATGGAATTAGTGTCTGAAAATATAGGAAAAGTTGGGGGGAATCGTGGAATAACGCTAAACCATATAAGTGGTAAGTCTGAACACAAGAGAAGATTGGATTTGAGGGTGTTAAAGAAAGCTTGTAAAAGGAAAATGTTGAAATTTGAGTTATGGCACTACTGCTACACCCATTTAAAATGGGAATGAATGCTGAAAAATGGAGATTTTTTTGTGGCATTTGAGACTTGGAGTATTACGGCCTGAAATTCATGCTATACTTAAGCAATGTGCTAATAATGCTAACAAAACCGAATTCACGAGTTTACAGGGTTGAAGTTCGACTTAGTCACTGAAATTCAGGGTGGAATTCACCCTTTATGCTAATGGAAAAGCATTTATCCACCAAATTCAAGCACCGAGATGCTTGGAAGTAGCCACAAGTTGAGAGAAATTCAGGGTTTTGAGGTTCTGATAGGACTAACTTACAACAATGGGTGACGGATTTCCGAGACCCAAGAGCCCCAATGCCTTTGCCGCACTCCTCTATATCTCTGCATCCTCGCCATCCTTCAAAATTTGCTAAAAATGAAAATGGGTTCTAACTGGTTTTCGATTCCCAATGGGGGAGCAGGGCCTGCCTGATTCGAGCCCAGAGTGATTCCCAGTGCGTAGCAGGGCCTGCCTGATTCGAGCCCAGCGAGCCGGAAACCTGAGTTTTTGGCCTCAAATTGTCCCCCGCAAATCAATTTGAGATCAAGACAGTGGAATTTTACAATGAAGGGGTCGAGTTTTGGCCGGAAATGTCGCCGGAAAACGAACCGAAGGCTGACTGCACTGGTTTGGGTTTAAGCAAAGGAATGGAGTGAGGAAGAAAGGGAGATTAATTACGAATTTATATAAGAGAGGGTTCCTTTTCTGTGTATAACTGGAAACCACATGGAGCGTAGAAAAAACGAGAGACCCCACAAACCAGTTTTACCTGCCCTGTGTTATCCGCGTAAATTTAATGGAGAGGCCAGTTGGGTAGGACTGCAACTTTCCCGAAGTTTAGTGATATTTTGGGATTTCGGGCTTTTTATTTTGGATAATAATAATAATAATAATAATAATAATAATAATAATAATAATTATTATTATTAGTATCAGACTCTCGGTAAATTTAATACAAATCTCTAAAAAAAATTATCATATGGATGTGGTACTTGACTTTCAAAATATCTGTTGCAAATTTAATGGTGATCATTTAAAGTCCTATGCATATTGTATGGGGAGGGTCTTGCAAGGTCATTTCTCTTTTTTTTATTTAAAAAAAATATCATTTTGTTGATAATTTTGATTTGGGATGTGATTGCACTGGACTCATTGTTTGGATTTTAGGCTTAGATCGAAGCGAAGTGAAGCCCTATCATTTTAGTTAGTTTTGGGCTATTTAGATTAGCTTCGGGCGGCTTTTGTCAGCTTCAGCTGAAACAAAAAAATATTTATATAAAAATATTCTTTTATTTTTTATTTTTTAGTTTTTATTTTATTATATACATCTAATTTATTTCAATTAAAAAAAAAAATTTGTCGAGTCACGCCGAATTGGTCGAAACATAAAATTGTTTCGCTTCTCGCACCAAAACCACAAAAAGACTACAAAACGAATATGAAAACATTGGTTTGGTGACAAAGAGAGGACTTATGGAATATGGAAGGAGAGAGGGCGTATGGGAGAAAGGCAGCGCCCACCATATATGTGGGCAAGACAGTGCGAATGGGGAATTGTGTTGTCCCATAAATAGAGAGAGAGAGGAATGGTTTTGTCATGCAAGGTCATATGTGGTTGGCCTTTTGCAAGTGGAGCGTCCTATACGTGACATCCCATTTTTCTGATACACCCCTAATTTCCTGGTGGCCCCTAGCATTGCTTTCATTGAAAAGGTTAAAATAACGCTAAAGTTTTATGGAAAGAAAGTAAGGAAAATATTTTGATGTGCCTGCCTTACTCAAATAAGTAAAGCCTCATCTCAAAACTTAACAAAAACTGTATATATGGCTTGAAAAACCTCCAACTCGATCATCTTTTCACCTTGATTATTATTGTTGTGAAAAAAAATAGAATTTCAAGTCTTAAAAATAGTGTTTATTATAAGTACATTATCTAGACCATTCATTATGCTCTAAAGATTAGTATTCACAGATCTGCAAGATATGTACTATTTTTTAACTTTAAATTTCATACTCGGTGTTGAAAATTGATTTTAAAGTCATCCTAGAGATTTCGAAACCCAAAGTACTTTCTGGACAAGGATTCGAGGTGAAGCTTTACTTTATTTTCACAAAGTCCAAGCCCTATGGAAACTGCATCCAAAAAGTACAACCTCACGTCAAAACTCACCAAAATTGTATTGTTCGACAAATATATAGTTTTAGTGTTGAAAAACCTTGATTATTATGGTCATGAAAAAATTTAGGATTTCAAGCCCTTAAAAATATTTTATACCGTAACACATTATCTAGACCGTCTATTTTCAAGTGTTCATAGATCCATAAGTAAACTACATATTTCATAATTGATGGTGGAAATAGATTTTGGAGCCATCTTACATATTTTCCATACCCAAAGTTCTTTTCAGGCAAGATATCGAGCTGAGGCTTCACGTTTTTTTTATAAGGCTTGGGTATCAAAGAAGGGATTGTCAACTACATGGAGGTCACAATCATTCTTGCATCTTAAATTTTTAAATGGGTAGTTGTAAGAGTATCATTAAATAGATATAAAGTTTCAAAAAAATAATTATTATTGGATTTCGTGACCCACTCCAAGCTATCCAATTTGACATCAAATAAGTGAGAATGATTGTTATCTCTATGTACAAATATAAATGGCCTCTTTGTAGACAATCCCATTATAGAAACCACGTCCCTCTTTAAAATAGAAAAGAGGAAAAGAGATTAGCAAGCTAAAGTGTGTACACATACACACACAGATAGAGAGAGCACATAGTACGATAATGTGTATGAAATTTGAACACTAGTCTAGTCAACAATTTAGAAAGAGACAATCAAGAGAAAATAATTAAGTCCGCCATGGCCGGTCCCCAGCCTAAATGAAAAAGGATAGTTATGTTACCAAAATAGAACTTTTGCCACATCTTTATATGAATTTTGATGTAATATTATCTGCTCATGCTACACGTTCCTATACACGACACGTGAAGTGAGAAATGAACTAGCGTTAACTAGGGCATTCTCTGGAAGTGACACACTGAGGCAAGGGTTCTTGTGCCATTTTGAACATGCACAGGTGAATAAGCTAGTCCAATAGAATAAGATTCGTCTAGCCACAATGAATGTTGGAATTCTAAGATGAAAGAGTATGGGTTGGTGAATACAATGAGATGAATGAGAGTTAATATAGCTTACTTACAAGAACGGGAAAGGAGCAAAAGTTAAAAATTGATGATTATAAAAATGGAATAGTATAGTAGTGAACAAATATTTAAAGGATAAAGTAGTAAATATTAAGAGAATTAGAGATAGGCTCTTATTAATTCAATTTGTAAGAGAGGAGGTGATAATTAGTGTAATAATACAAGTAGGACTACATGTTTGAATTAAAACACAATTTTGGACGGCATAGATGGACTAGTCAAAGGAATACTAAATAGAGAGAGGACATTTTTAAGAAGGAACTTCATTGGTTATGTATAAAAAGCTAGTAGAAGTTACGAAAGGGTATATGGAGGATATAGATTTGGGAAACAATAAGATAGGCGATGCTATTTTTTATTTTTTCATGGCTTGCGACCTAGTAATATTAAACACCTACTTCAAAATGAAATGAATATTTAATAACTTATAAAATTGGATCATATAAAAAGTCAGATAGAATTTTTTCTTTTTAAGATGGCATAAATGTAAAGAATGTCAAGTTACTTCAAGAGAGAGTTTGACCATACAACATAGGCTCATAGTTATAGAAGTTTCGCATAAAGAGATGGAAGAGGAGAGAAATTAATAGGTGTCCAAGAATTAGGTGATAGAATTTAAAGCCAATTTTGTTTTATATTAGGGAATTGAGGCTATTTTCGAAGTGCAGTAATTGATTGAGAAGTTCAGGGAAAAGAGAAAAGATTTCCACATGGTGTTTTATTGATTTAGATAGAGCATTTGATAGGATGTCTATAGATTTTTTTTGGTTGGTGTTGAAAAAGAAAATACTCTCTAGGGGATACATTAATATGGTGAAATATATGTATGGAGGTGCGATAACTAGTGTGTAAACATCTAGATAAGAGATAAGTGAGCTTTCAGTGATAGTAGGACTACTTCAGTGGTCGGCATTGAGCCCATATCTCTTTGTTTTAGTTATGGATGAATTTGTTATATATTTCTATAATATTCTTTATTATTTTGCTTTCCTTTTAATCTGAACCATTGGCAGGGTCCTTGTGCTCCATTAGGCTGTCTTCTAGGCACTTTACGTTTCTTTATTTTTAACACCTATTTGCTGCTCGGTTCTAATAGTTCACTAAGAGAGAAGAGAGAGATGCAATATATGGGATTGTATATTGTATTACCATCAAGCTTTGGTGCATTGAGATTGCAGTCATCTATAATCGTCGAATATGAAATGTGACAGCTTAGATGTGGCACAAAATTTAAAAATTTTACTTTGGCTTTTAGACCCGGGCAATTGTACATCCCCAACCACCCAATTTCATATGATGACCTCCTTGTGCCAAAAGTTAATAGTCTTATTATATGTTTTTTTATTTTATTTTATTTTATTATATGTCATGTTAATTACTTTTAATTAAAGGGACACAATTCAATTTTTTTATAAACCTGTTTGGTATATTACTTTTTGGGGAATGGAAGAGGGTTCCGCGATTTTTATGTTTATTAGGTCCATATAACTCTGTATCGATCTTATATCCAACTCTTCCATCAATTCCTTGCATAAGTCTTGTCTAGCCAAACTTGGGCGTTTCTTATGAAATTTCATGTATACAGTTGCACTGACCATGTTTTTTTTTGCCAAGAATTTGAGCAAAAAACACTGAGAACCTTTTGGCTGCTTTCTAACCCTGAATAGATTAGATTTGGAGCCTCTTATACCAATACAATATTTTTTGAATCTAAGAAAAAAAAATGATATGAAAATTAGCATTACAACATAAGTCTTCTTCATCTCACCAATATAATATGAGTAGTTCACTTGCATATTAGAGATGTTTCAATTGTAAATTTTAGGGCTCCTCTACCATGGTTATGTCAATAATATATAGAAAAATGCAGATGATTTAAGGTAAGTTATGGATCTTGGCAATAATTATCATAGAAATGCAAATAAGTAACGTCAATTTCCTACAGGGTTATGCATCTCCATAAAATAATAATGAACAGTGATACTCTAATGCATAGGGTGCCTCACAATGTTGTGGCTCTGACTTATCAATTCTTGGATGGTTTGGATTCCATTCAATAGACTTGTACTAAGTCCAAAATAAGGCGAATGGAGTACCAGTGATTTGATACATCATCAAAAGAGAAGGAAACAAAATGCTCATGCAATAAGAAAGGGTGAGGTTTGTACAAGGTGACAACTTTAAACTATCACGGTAAGGTGCATCTCAAAATCTCATTAAAAGGTGTATCTTTGGGGCCAAAACTCTTATCAGTGCCTAAAACTCTATTTTTCACCCTTAAGAAATTGAAAGTTCCAAAAATGGTGCAAATCAAGCAGATCTATGAGCACTTGAAAATCTTGAAAATGGACAATCTGGATAATGTGTTATAAGATGGACGAATTTTAAGACTTGAAATTCATTTTTTTTTCCATAACTATATATATCGAGGTCAAGATGTTCAATTGACGAATTTTCTAATAACGAA